TTTTGGCTCAGGGCATGATCTCACGGTTTGTGAGTTCGAGCCCCAAGTGGGGCTCTGCCCTGGCAGTAAGGAGCCTGCTTGGGATTCTGTCTCTCCCTCCCTCTTCCCCACCCTCGTGCGAGCGTTCTCCCTCTCTCTCTCTTTCAAAATAAATAAACTTTCTCCACAGCCTGAGAGCCCTGTGACACTGTCGGGTGAGTCTTGGTTATGCTGTGCTAATAAACCCCCAAACTCAACAGGCATAGTACAGAGTTTATTTCTCACTGACACTGTGTGTCCGTTGCAGGTTTGCTGGGGCACGTGCTCCACGTTGTCCTCATCTAGCTGACAGGAGCCATCAACTGGCCCATTGCCTGTTGCCGTGGGAGAGGGAATCAGTTGTGGAGGGTCTTCTACAAACACATGTTCCGGTTTCCAAGTGACCTGCCACTTCCTCTCACAGTTCACTGGTTAGAACTGGATACGCCTTCCTGCTAAACAAAGTGCAAGGGGGCCTGGTAGGATGGGAGTCTGCAGATGGAAGGTCAAACCAAATGTTGAAAGTCTTCAGCAATGGGTACTTCCTTCGGTTGGATGAATAGTAGTACTTCTGGTCACACGTGAACTTCACTGGGCTTGGGAGGGGCCGCTCTTACCTGTCAGATGACGAGAAGAGGGTGGACCCGTCAGTAGTCCCCTCTGCTGTTGAAGGTGGTTTCCCGTTTGAAAGAGATTTCTCTGGTGTGTGCGTTTGTGTCGGTTTGTGTATGGGTGTTTTAGGCCAACGTTCAGTGAGTTTTTGTATGTTGCACGCACCGGGTTAAACATTTTATCCAGATCATCTGATTTCCTGCCCATATAAACCCTGTGAGGTGCCTACCACCATTTCCCCCGTTTTAGACTGGGAGCAGGCTTAGAGAGGGCAGTCCGCTTGCCCTGAGTTCACAGCGATGAAACGGAAAGGCTGTGATTCCGACCCACTTAACTCTGCCCCTGCATCCACATATGCCGCTTCTTCCCTGATGCTTTTGAAGGCCTCTGTAGCCTGACCAGGAAAATCCCAAATCCACCAAGAGTTACGAACACAGTGTATGCGTAGCTTTGGGTTGGGTGCCGTCTCTGTTAGAACTTAGCATAAAAAACGAGTGGGAAGCTAGGTCTGTGCCCTCCAGAAGTTTAGGGTCTAGTTACAGGGGAGAGGGTGGTGAGAAAGATATAAACAGGTAAGAGATGAAACATCCAACTAATATTTGAGCACCTCTTGTAATGTTTTGGAATTCTTAACAGCTTTATGGAAGTACGTTTTACAAATAAAATGACTCAAATCAAGGGATTTATAAAGTAGTGCAACAATCCTCATGTATTATCTTCCAGAAAGATCCCAGCCCCAGGCCACCACTAATCTACTTTGTTTCCATAAATTTGCCTTTTCAGGATATTTCCTATATATGGAATCATGCAGTCTGTGGTCTTTTGTGTCTCATCACTTAGCGTAATGTTTATACGGTTTGTCCGTGTCCCAGCACAGCATGTGTTGGTAGTTTGTTCCTTCGTATTCCTGAGTGGCATTCCTTTGTGGGTATTCCACATGTTATCCATTCATTAGATGAGGAAGATTTAAGTTTCTACTTTTTGGCTGTTCTAACTAATGTTGCTATGAACAACCTTGTGCAAGTCTGTCTGAGTGGGTACTGCCATTTCTTTTGCATAGATACCCAGGAGTCTGTTGTAAAAATGGTGATTTTATGTTTAGCTTTTGAAGAAACTTGACCTGTTTTCCTTTCAGCAACCTATAAGTTAATAGTCAAGACAGTACTAGACAGGACGTTATAACAACTTTATTGCTAAATAAGTCGTGAATGATTGCTGTAGGAGTTGGGGATGTGTTATATGGAATGGTTCATGAAAGAGGTAGGATTTAGAGAAGCATGGAACTAGGAGACGGTCATTTTTCGGGGGACAGAATTGAAACCAAATAGAAATGGTACAGGCATGCCATGGAAATATGGTGGATTCAGTTCCAGATCACTGCAGTAAAGTGAATATCGCAATGAAACAGGCCAAGTGAGTTTTTTCCCAGTGCAGATAAAAGTTACGTTTATGCTGTACCATAGTGTATGAGGTGTGCGATAACATTATGTCTAAAAAAATGCCGTCATTAAACAATACTTTATTGCTAAAAATGCTATGTGTGCTTTCAGCGAGTTGTAATCATTCATCACAGATCACCATAACACATATAATAATGGAAAAGTTTGGAATATTGTGAGAATTACCAAAACGTGACAGATGTGAAGTGAGCAAATGCCACTGGAAAAATGGGGCCGATGGATTTGCTCGACACAGGGTTGCACA